TGTGTGTGTGTGTGTGTGTGTGTGTGTGTGTGTGTGCATTTGGATGTAGATGATGTTGGCTGGAATAAAATGAATGTGTCAAGCATTTGCATAGTTCTCAGTTTTGTTCACGATTTGCATAACGATGCAAATTAAATTAAAATAAATAAAATACCCTCAACATTCAAAATGACAACTTTATTTATTACGGTCAATACCAAGCTCAGAAAGTTGGAAATCCAGAGTTTCCCACTTGAAATTATGTTCTTGGCCTCTTATAAATGCGATCATTGCAACATGACTTGAAGGTCGCGTTATTCCCGGTATGCTTATCAATGTCATTTGCCAGACTGTGGTAAATTAACTCTGCTCTCTGCTTGTGTCAAACCATAATTACCCACCCAATTAGGCCCAGATCCGAGCCACAGTTTAACCGTTCCTCATCAGAGACTCCGGGAGCAAAGAACGCTGCTATTGTGAGGGCAGATGTCGTCGGCTCCAGTATAAAATAAACGAGGTTTAGGCCTAGTATTGGTTGTGTTTTCATTGCTTTGATTTTTACACTTTTCTATAAATGCGTAGGGATCAATCGGGTCTTTTGATGGTCAGTTCTTTAACTACTACTTCTGGTATTTTGGATGGTACTTTGGATGACCCTCACCTCAAACAACCAGAGAGATTCAAACCAATAACCAACAGCAAACACCAACTTCAGCGAACAGTCTGTCACATTTGTAGTTGCCAAGCAACAAGATTCACCACAAAAAGATTTTTGACAGAATATGAACAGATGCCTTTTGTATCTTTGTGCACATTTGTGACTGGTGTTACTTACTGTGGCTGATCTGCAGCAGATGGAAATCTCTGTCTTGTAAGTCAGATTTGAATAAACCATCTACCGTCTAAGCATATGTACGTGTCAGGTTTTCTTATGTTTACATGTTTACAAGTGCAATAATGTCTTCCTCTGTCGCTCTGTCCACATATTCTGTGCCAGTAGTGTAGTCTTGGGCAAATGTTGTGTTTGCATGTGATTGCATTACGTGATAAACACTCTCTCATGCGGCGGGTGGGGATGAGTGCCCTTCTGAGAGCATATGCACACATGCAAAATCTGTAGTATATTAAATGTATTCTGTATTAACATTCACAGTGCTGTTTCTGGCTCTTTATTTTTGGTGGCGCACAATCAGTTTCCCAATATGACATTATAATATATTATAATATAATAATACATGATGCAATTATTGTGGTCCACATCAAATAAAAAATGGCCCCTTTTTGTGTTTCCAGTGATTCAAAGTATGTGAATGCAATCCAAGTGACTTTAGTTAAAATTGACTGACAAATGCATAAATGTAAAATGATGTACAAATGTAAATTAATCCGCTGATGCTTATTAAAGACCCTGCCACAAGAGGGCGCTGTCATAATTTTTGGATGTATGGGGTATCATTGTACTTTCTACTACTCTCTCTCTCTCTCTCTCTCTCTCACACACACACACACACACAGAAACACACACACACACACACACACACACACACACACACCTCCATCTCTTGTTATCGTTAAACTATAAATTCATTATAACATCATCACTGGCACAGATTTTGAATTTCTATTAACGTTCTATCAGTGTCAAATGATATTTGCCAAATAGCAGAAAGCAAAAATATATATTTACAGTCCATGCATCCACTTCAACCTCCCACACAAAACTCCCTTCAAATGCCTCAAAGTGTTTTAGCTGGCAGCACATGAAATATAAGAGCTGAGGTCAGGTGTCAAACTTTATTAATATCCCAATTGAAGTGGAGGAACTTGCTTTGGAGGTGCATGGGAAACGATGAGAGAAGAATGAGTGGGAAGGTCCGAGTGAATGTATGAACTGGGCTATAGAGGACCATTGGGTTTCAAGGGAAATGGGGTTGAATTTCACGAAAGCAGGTAGGGTTTTGGATTTCAGTCCAGTCTTGATTTGTACAAAACCAGCCCGATCTCACGGCAATTCTTACATATTTTACGAGGTGGCTAATTCGTACGAATTCGTACAACCTCACTCGTACAACCTCACTCGTACAAATTCATATGATTTGTGCTGAATCGTACGTATTTTACGAGAGTTCCACAATTCGTATGAATTTGTACGAATGACCTACACATAACCCCACCCCTAAACCTACCCGTTACTGGGGTCTAGACAAATCGTACAAAATTGTACGAGTGAGGTTGTACGAATTAGCCATCTCGTAAAATACGTACGAATTGGTCGTGAGATAGCGTTGACAAAACTCTACCTTTGTGCAAAATGAATCATTACTAAATCATTAGCATGATTTAGTAATGATTAATTAAGTAATGAAAAATTAATAATTACTCAAATGTATTCGAAATGAATATATTTCATGCTAAGCATACTACAAATACATTTACATATGTATGTGCTTAATAAAAATACCCTGCCATTGTACTTTTGGTATACTTAAAGTCTGCTAAATTGGAACAGCTAATACTTAATGCACTTGAATTGTGTGAAAGTAGTGCTGAAGTCCAACTAAAGATATACTGAAGTATATTTGATTGTGCTGAAGTGGAACTATTGCAAGTATACTTCAGGTACACTTTAAATATCTTGCATTTAAAGACCTACAGTATATTATTCAAAGATGATGCAAACCTCATCAAAAGTGACATTAAAACACATTTTAGGCTTACTATTACAAAATGTGCATTGTGCTCAAGTAGTACTCCAAATAAAGTTGAATTATAACTTTTATATCAGTAAGTCCCGAGCGATATGTCAGTAAATATGTTAATAGATTTTAACTATACTTAGTATGAAATAAATATATTTTAAATATATATTTTTTTCAATAGGGTGAAGTGATATACAGAGTTCTGGCATGAAACTCTAGATGGCGGAGTCCGATAGGTCTAACTCAATCTGACCTAATGACATCATTATCACATGGTACAGTAAGAGACACTTTCATAACTACCCATGTTTCCTAACACACTTAAGCACACTTTTATAATATATAAATGACATACTAGTTTTAATTGAAATGGCATTGAAGTATGTTTTAATTTACCATAAATGCTTTTCAGCACATTCAGCAGTACTTTAACCATAATTTTAAAGACAAGAGAAGTAATTGTAAAAAGATGTACTTAAATCCTACTTAAGTGGGTCAGAAAGCACTCTAGAGTTCAGCTAATTGCATTTAATATAAATTTCAACTTTTATACAATACATTTAATCATATATAATACATGTATCAACATTAACATGAAATGAAGTGTCTGAAAACGTCACATTCCGTTCACACTTAAGTATGTTCTGTTAAAATATATTATCTCTGAATACTCATTTTAGAGTATGCTAAAGTGTACTCCTTTTTCGCAAGAGTTCTGACAAATTAAACTGCATATAAATCGCCAGTACTGTATTTCATTATATTACAGCAGATGTTTTACCAGTGACAGATTATTTTTGGATGTTGTTCAAGGTTTAAAATGGACTCGTGTGTGTCCTGTCCACCATCTTTGACCTCATAGATCAGGATCGTCACTAGTGAAGGTTTGAGTTGGTGTGTTTCTTGTGATGCCATCAGTTAGTGATGATTAGCATTCCCATTGAGATGGATGTGAATGATAATGCAGCTCTCATTCCTTCATAAGCACTGAAACATTGTCATGCATTTCAATGCTAATGTTTTTAAATGCATTTAAATGTCTTTATTTTTACCTTCCGCTATTGAGTACGTGTCTTCTTGACCATGACAGTTACAACCCTCATGGTCCAGGAGCTGCTATGCATCAGCAATATCCGGACCTACTAAATTCACTGCTAGAATAGCTGCTGCTATCTTGGGGTCTGTCTGTTAGCGGCTAATTTTAGCCGGCATGACCAATGTTCTCACATTCAGCCGCTCTGTCCTTCTGTTGCTCGTTCTGTCCTTGCAAGTTTTGGATTCTTTCTTCTTGTCCTCACTTACCAAGTTTTGCTTCATTTCCCTTGTCTTTGCCCATATGCTATCAATTCAAGCCAAACTTTGTTTGAGTTTAAGCTGAAAACATGCCATCTAGTGGATCTGGCCATTAATAGTGCTGCTGGAGACAATAAACAAACACCTCATCAAAAACCCACTGTAAAACACAGTGTCGTTTCTCAAATCGAGCTGTGGAAGAGATTTTTAAGTGCGCTATGGTTTCTTTTTATTTGTAGCCAAGAACAACACTGTGTTCTGATTCACAAATGCATTATTTATCATGTTAGACAGACTTTATTTGAGTCTGCCAATAACAAAACTTGTTGCTCTTGTTACATAATAAACAAAATGGTGCAGCACATTTAGAGCATTTGAAATATTCAGCACAGCACGGCAACACTTGCAATATCATAGAGTAACAACACAAAAACAACCATGTTTATGGAATAAAATGGACAAAAAAACAATACACTTTATTAATAATAATTACTAAGGTTTTATTTCTCATTGTTGTACCTGTAATTGTCATTACGATGGGTGAATCTCAAAGGAGTTTGGTGAAATGATCTGGTGAGGTTTTAGATGGGGACTGTTCAAAAAAAGTGAATCTTGCTCAGTGTGTGGTTATTATTAATGATTAACCTGCTCTGTGAATAATGGTGGGATGTATTCATATATCTTATTCATGTAAGAAAATTACTTTTAAATTTAGCAGAGCAAAGTGCCTTGGTTCACTGAGTTAATGAAGAGAAGTTCAGCCAAACCACAGTCGAAATCATTATTTCAGTAATTTCGGCATCTGCAAGCTGTTACAAGCACATTACAAACTGTCATCGCCAGTTCAGCCATAAATCAGCACGAATTCTGGACATTATAATTTGGACATGTACAGTAAGAGTTGGTTCTTTGCTCTTTGTTCCTCATTTCTAAGTCACTAGAAGCATCTGCTAAATGCATAAACGTAAACCTACTATTCCTTCTGATGCACAAAGACTTATAGCTTTTTGGACAATTATAAGCTTCAGCAGTATGAGTTCAAGGTCCAAAATAAGGCAGAGGATGCTTATAAAACAAACATTCATTCTGACAGATAATGTAAATTGTCACTGTTCATTTTGTAAAATAACCTTTGTAATCAAAAGTTATCAGACCTGCTTTCTACCTCCTGTAAGCTGAATCCTCTTTGAAGAATCATACTAACCCTTAACATTTCTAGAGTGCTTTGCTCACAGCCATGATTTTAATATATCTTAGATTTCTATGAGATGGTAAAAACTCACCACACACCTTCATTTCATAGCGTTTGAGTAACTGAAAAAGTGCTTGTCAATGTAAATTAACTTTACAGCTCAAATAATGCACAAGTCGAGAAAATGTAAGAACATAAAGGAAGCATAAAAGTAATTCATAAAGCTCCAGCGATGTAATTCAAGTCTGATGCATTCATTTTAAAAGAAAGACTGAGCAAAATGTAAGTGGTTATTCAATCTCAAATCAATCAAATCATTGACCGACTCATGTATAGTCCCTAAATCAAATATGCAATACATCAACATCATTGCTATTTATGTATTTGACATCATTGCACAATGAGGTTTGATGTCATTGGCTGTGCTTGTGGTTGAACTATTGCTGTGTTTTTTTTCCGGCATCGTCGTAAGGTGGGCCATAGGACTCCAGGCCAATAAAGACAATAGCACGTCTCATCATTTCTATGTTAGGCCTCTTTGTTTAAGCAGACTGTGTTTATCTGTTGTAGTGATGCAGTTGCTTTAGATCAGATCTAACTTTTGCAGAAATCCAGGTAAGTCGTACTATACTTTTTCCTTGAACTTGATAAATCATCCATTATTCGTGGTCTGAACTCGTCGTGTTGTTCTCTTGTACTTCACGTATATAGACTAGCCGTGTGCATTTTTCATGGCCGGCCGGTGGAGTCTTGCATAATAATCTTTGTGTGCTTCATGGCACATATGACTTATTAATGTGGAAAATACAGGCTCACGCCACAGGCTGTTTAAACGCAGCCTTTCACAACTATATCTCATATCAGACAATCATGGCATCAGTTTTGTTCCTCGTTTGTTGTGGTTTTGGCACAAGGGGATTCATGGGTAGATAAACAATATTGTCTTAATATTGTGCAGCCTTTTAACGATATTTAATATAAACCTTCATCTTGATATTTATGAAGGGCTTGAAATGGCTTAAAGGGATGGATTTCGTTTTTTCTCTTTTTTTTTCAGTCAGATGCAGTCATGAATCTAGTTCAGTTTAAAAGGTTTAATGCCAGAAGTAAAATATAAAGAATCTATAAATCATAAAGAAAACTAAATTATAGATTTCATTATATACACTTGTGAGATGATGCGGTATCTTTAAGAGTATATTTTTAGACAATTACATAATTCCCCTGTCAATTATGTCACAGATGTTCTTTTAACCTCATGCTCTCACCCACCGGTATAATTCCTGTTCACATCTGCATGTGAGTCTTCATATTCATATAGCTGTAAACCGAATGAACTGGATGCATCTCGACTCCGTCGAGGCTTTATGAATGAGTAATCACTTATGAAGCGCCGCTTCAGATGCTTCATTATCTTTCTCTGTGTGTTTCCCATCATTGCAGTGGAGAGCGAGCCTCGCGCAGTGAAATGAGAAGTCTGAGCACTCTGTGTTCTTTATGAGTTCATATTCCAGCTGAATCACACTCTTAAGAGCACTTGCATCTCTCAAGCATAGACTCCAATCCTGCTTTGGTGCAGAAAGGAACTCAGGGCCGCACAGAAAATCTGAGATCCACTGCCATCCGCAGCTGCTATCATAGCATTAAAGTACAATGCAGCTCATTCTGGTGAGGAACTGACATGCCATCTGACTGACGACATCAATATGTAACAAAAGCAGCTAAGAGAAAGCAAATGTAGATTAATAAAACAATAACTGTCTGAAACAAGCGTGCCACATGCTCAGAGAATCTCATTTACAAAGTGTCTCAAACTAAACGTTCAATATCTTTTTTTCTCGCAACTGTGAGTTTGTATTTTGCACTTTTGACTTTTGTCTTGCAATTGTGAGTTATCGATTGCAATATATAAACTATGAGAAAAGATTTCTCAATTAAATTCACAATTTTTAGAAAACAAAGTCCAAATTGTGAAATATAAATTCACAATCATGAGGAAAAATGTCAGAATTGTAAGACAAATAGTCAAAATTACCTTTTTCTAACCAATCACACTGCTCTGATCTTCTTTTTTTATTTTCCTTTTATGTCCTTCATACTGAATCTTATTTTAATTTAAACATTTAATTTAAATTTTAGTCTTATTTTCATAATAAAATGTCTTTTTTTTCAGTTTTTACTTCTTACTTGTATTGTGTTTTTATTTGTTAATATTAACTATGAAATGTTTTATGCATTCATTTATTTAAGCTTATTGAATTCCCACTGTGTATGAAATGTGCTAAATAACCTTGCCTTTCCTTGCCTTCTTCACACCTGAACCAATTTTGAATTTCAAAACAATGAATCACTGGCAGGAAATGCATGAATAGAACCATACGATAATGTGATAATCATGTAAAACAGGGGCATTGCTGACTGGCAGAGGAGAATAAACTGAACGTGAAAATGATTGAGCGCTGAATGCGTCGAGTTTCATTAGATATTGTCTTGGTGCCTTCAGGATTGTAGTTATGATTTTAATATGTCTTGCTCTGTAGTCATAGCCGTTTCATATTTCCCAAACGGCAAATGTTCACTGAAATGTTGATACTAAATTGTGGGTCCATCAGATTAAAAGCATCATTCTTTTTTGTTGGCCTTTTGGCGTATATCATCACTCTTTTTTATCGCTGTTAACCAGCTGCAGTCGGGTTGCGCCGCTTTGGAAGTGCTGAACCCGCCGTCCTCTCTCAGGATGATTTTATGTGTGGAGGGGACAGAAACAGACGCTGCTGTTTAGTGTGCTCAGCGATGATGATTCAGAGGTGAGGTGATGCGCTCATGAGTCATCAGAGCGAACTCAATCACTCACTGAACCACCAGCCCAATCCACGACACTCATAAAACCCCAAGACAGCGCACAGGGTCTTCAGACTCCTCCTCAGGGAGAAAGATGCACTGCAAATGTATCGCAACAGAAGAAATGACAGACAGTGGCTGCTCACTTTAGCTCTCAACAGCCAATTAATGGCAGGTTTGGTTCGATTAAAATGAACTCTGGTGCGATTGCTCTAGTGCAGTTAATTTGAGTAACTGCCATAACAGCTGTCCAATCCCTATGCTTTGAATGACAGTGTAAATGCTAAGTGAATCAGGACTGAATATATCAGTTTTCTATGTAATTGATTGCTTTTTAAATTCCAATGCAGTTCTTGAAATTGAACTGAATTTAAATCGAGGATGCAAAACTGCAATTCAAATGTGAATGAAAGGATTTAATTGGAATTCAAAGAAATTTGCATAACTTTAACTACAAAAGTAATGATAGCTAAGATCAATTTTGAATGTTGGATTGATAAAGTCTTGTTTGGAAGTTTTGAAGATGTTTGAAAAACCTTGACTGTTTATAGGCCTTACACACAGAGAGAGCAAGAGACTGGGCAATAGAAGAACACATTTAGCATTGAACTGGTGAACTAAAAATGCCTCATAAGTTATGCAGCGTTTCGTTCCCTCAGGGAACTAAGGTTACATGCGTAAACTAGAGACGCTCCCCATCAGGAACTTAGGTTGCATTGGAGAACGCTTTGGGAACGAGTATGTCCACGCCGCCAGACTGACAAATCTTTGTCTAGTGTGGATGGGCACAGCTAGGCCGAGAGAACTGAGGTCTGCTTATTTGCAGGAAGACTCTTCTTATACGGACTGTAGCAGACAAGCAACTGGTCCGACTTTCTCCACAGGACAGCTCGCACTGGACACACACGGTTAAGCTTGTCCTGGTCAGGGTCCTGAAAGGGAGGAGGGTAGAAGGCCTGCTGCACGACTGGCCATGGAATGACAGAGAGCACATTGGGGACATACCCCGGTCTGGTAAAGATAGGCTCTGGCCATGCTAGGGGCAAACTCAAGACAAGAGGGGGCAACAGAAAGAGCCTGAAAATCACAGACTCTCTTCAGGGAAGAGATGGCTAGCAGAAGTACACTCTTGACTGTAAGAAATATCAATGAATCCTCCTCCAGGGGTTCAAAGGGAGGTTTGGAAAGGGCCTCTAAAACCACTGCCAAATCCTGTGACCTCTGGTGTACTTAGAGCAGCTAGCTTGGTGCCATGAAGCGGAGGACCAGCAGTGAACAGCCAATCTAGCTGCTCCTTGGAGGTAGTGAGCCTTCCAGAACCACTACGTTTACGGGCGGATGCTGAGAGATGCGCTCGCTGGAGACAGCTGTGCCCTGAAGCACCGGGGCACAGACCGATCTCCTGAGGGCACTGAGGAGAGATGGGCACCGTATGATGTGGTGTACACCACTCTTCCACAGAGAGGCCTGCCCTCAGAAGTCCTGACGCACTTGTCCTCAGACCCGTCATCTCCCTTGAAGACTTCGATCTAGAGTGCCGCCCCGGCTCTTTTTGTTTTTCTGGGGGAGTAGCTTGGCCACTGCTCGAGTCACTACCTCCAACAGCTCCTCAAACTGGATGGACCGCTCCCAAACAAGCGACACACAAGCTGTGTGTATCCACACCTGTAATGAAGTGCGAGCAGGCAGGAACACACAGTCTGAAAGCCTGTTTGTCCCTTGCTTGCCATAATGCTTTGATTCAAAGACAGTAAATAAGATAATACAAACATAGAGCGCTTATACTGAACGGCAGAAGCTGCCGCTGTCTCCAACGCACGTGCTTTTATGCTTCCTGGTTGCTACAACCCTGCCGGTGACGTCATGTGATTCTGGATTACGCATAAGCATTCCCAAAGTGTTCTCTGACGCAGCATGAGTTCCTGAAGGGGAACATAACTAGATGAGTAGCACTTCTCCATTTTGTCATGTACTAATCTTTATGACTTTCCAAAACTGTATGATAAAAGAAGAATTTTGTAAAAAAAAAAAAAAAAAGTTACTATTTAAAGTAGTTTTTATGAAATCACCTTTGATCACCTCAGGTCAAGGATGGAATTGACCTTCTCTGGTACAGATTTAGATCTTTAAAGAAACATTTAGCTCATTGTTTTTTATGTATTTATTTATTTTTTATTTATACTTTTTTTTTATTTCCTGAACCCATTAACTTCTAAAGTGAAGGTCAGACCTCTCCGGTCATGTTAAACATCACGGAATAAAAGGAATAAAACATTTTGATGGGAAAATTAGTCCTTTTGGCAATTCAGTTTCTCTTTACCATCTAAAGAACAGTCATTTGAATTCGACCTTTCAGTCCTTTCACACAAAACATCCATGATTGTGTCAAAAATGATTCTGGTGTTTAAAAAATTATTTTTTTCTCGGTTTCTAAGCTTCTGTCTCTGTCTGAACACATGCTGTCAAATATGAATCATAGCTGAGTCATTTCAGCTGTCAGCTTCTCACAGATAAACATACTTCAACTTAACAGTCTGGTGCTACGAATACAGAGCAATGTTTATTTTACAAAAAAAAAAAAATCAGGATCTAACAAAAATGTTTAATGTTTTTATTATTTAATTGCCTTTAGATACCTTTGAAGGATTGGGAGTGGTGGGGGGTTATATTGTGAATAGTGAACAGTTTGGTATTTTTCCCATTTTTATCTAATACAGATGAATGTGAAACTGGTTACATTTTATTGCACTAGTTGTTGCATGTATCATGGCAGTTTGGAAATTAAACTTTAAACGTTTAAAAATAATGTCCCACCCACACTAAACCCAATCCAAAACCTGAATGATAGCAAACACGAGATAAAACACATGAGATAAATGCTGAAGCACCATGTCATTTTATCTTGCTTTTACAAGCATCATGTCTGACGGGACTCATTCTCAAGTACTTCACATCACAGGTGCAATGCTATACCGGGTGCACTCCTGAGCAAGTTTGCTATGTTGGAAAAGCCAAACATATAGAGCTGCTTATGTGGTGCAAACATCTAAATGTATTAGTTTACAAATCATGCACTATGGTAAAAGTGCGTTGAGCTCATAACATAGTATTGTGCAAGGATCTGCACAAAAATAAACCTTTATTAATTGATAATCTGCCATTGTAATCATACTTTGTGTGAAACGTGAAAAAAGTTGATGAAATTACACTGTAAATAAATTACTTTTGGAAGTTGCAATTAAAGATGAATGGGTACATTTTGCAAGAAAATACTATTTCATTCTTTCTGCTTAAAAATGTCATAGTTTTTAACACTCTAAAGTCACCTGACCTTTCTCTGCAGTTGCTAACAAGCCCCGCCGCCCTGACGTACCAGGTATGTTCAGGCCCTCGAATGACTTGTGTTTTGTTCTGTTCTCTCTTTCTTCCTCTGTGTTTGTCAAGTCTGGCTTATCACTAAAGCTTCATCCAAAATATCTGAACAGCATCCTTCCCCCCTCACTAGGGCTGCTCACTGTCCACTCTAAAGCCCTTTTATGACTTATGAGCGGTTTGTAAGACCCATGGAGAGAATGAATGATGCTCCTTCAGACGTGTTGGATGTGGCCGGTGAGAGCTGCCGTAGTGAGTTTCTACAGGATAGCACTTCCTGTGAGGCCGAGACAATGAGTGACCAGTCGCTGCCATTAACACATATGTCCGCTTATTGGCCTGTTCTTGAATGCGACGCTCACCCTCGAGAAGAGCAGAGTTTGTCCCGGCGTCTACATCATGAGCAGGATGTGTTAAACGCTCAGCTAGATGGGGACAAACTCTGATGAAGAGAAATGGAGGAATCAAGCTAAAGTGTCGTGTTTTGAGTGACGTGACTTTGACGCTTGTGTGCTGATTTGTTACAGCCAGGGATGTTCAAAAACTGTTTCACCCGAACATGAAAATGCTGCCATCATTTACTCACCCTCATGTTAGTCGAAACCAGTGGCATCTGTCAACATTGACAACATTATTTTCATGCATCAAGTTTAATTATGTCAATGATTTGAGAATTTCAGAGAATAACAACTTGTTATTGTATGACTACAGAAGACTTCAGTCACACCACATCAATCATATAGACTACTGTTCTGAATTTTGAGAGCATGGGTCCCTTTTGTCAAAAAGAAGTCCAGGGCTCCTGAATTATAGTTTATACTATATAATGTGAACTGGATGTAATGTTTTCACACTCTTAACTGCATGTTTACTGCAATTAAATGAAAATGCATGAATATTATTTGAATTTATAATAAATGCAATTACGTGAACTTTAGAATGTTTTTGACCCACTTAAGTAGGACTTAAGTAGATTTTTTATGTTATTTCATAATTACATATATCATCTTTGAAATATGGTTAAAGACAGTGCAATTTCTGAATGTACTGACTTTAATGTACTTTCAGTTGAATATACTTTAATGGCATGTGTATATCATGTATTTAAATACATTTGTATTGAAGTTGCAATTTAGCGCATTTAAAATATATTAACTGTATATATAAATGTAATATTGAATAGCACACTAGAGTTAAAATGATAGTCAAGTCCTTTACATGTGCTTTAGTATGATAGTCAACACATCAGAATAAGTGTAAACATGGCAAAAGATGTGAAACAATGATTAAAAATGTACTTTAAAATATTACAAAGTGCACTTAAGTGTGTTGTGTTCACTCGTGAAAGTGTCTCTCTTTAAGTCACTTAAGTGGCCTTTTAATTATTTAATAGTATATTATCTGCAAGTACAGTTTAAAAATATATATATTTTAAAATTTGATGTGCACATAAAATACAATTAAGCGCACTTCTTTTTCACTCTGTTATTCTTTTATTTCACTCAAATGTAATATGGGTTATACATGTCATGATGGTGAGTAAATCGATTTTGATTTGGTGAACTCTTCATTTATGTACAAATGTGAGGGTGTGAGAAATTCAGTTGCGATGTGTAATGGTTTGCAAGGGTTTTGCAATATGTGAAGTCAGAAAGAAGGCCTGTAAAGGGTCGAATGCTTTGGCGCTTTGGTAAGGTGGAATCTAAAGGACGTTTCAGTGCATTTGATACTTGAAGGTAAATGACTACCGTATGTATGATATTCTTCTTCATGTATTTATTGTGTTGAATGTTGCTGTTATGTATACATATGCTCTCATTTCAAGCATGTGTGTATACGAGGAAAATGAATGAGTGCAACTTTAAGAAGGCATGTGTAGATTGGTCACGTGTGCATTGGTGTGTCTGTATGTTTATGTATGCGGTTGACCCAAGCGACAGCATACATACAGTAACTATACATTTGCACCTGTGTCCGTATTTCCAGTCTTTGACATGCCCGATCAAACCCTGCATTGGTCAGATCCCTTGTCCATCTTCAGCTCCTATTTCACACAGATTTAGAAAGTGCAGAGGCAGCACTTCTGGCATTTGCTTTGACGGCCTTGTGTCTCGTTTGGCTTTGAGTATATAGTATGAGAGAGAGGTGTCTTTGCCTCATTGGGTCGACGTGTTTTATGGCTGCATTATGGCTGTTTTACTGAATGGCCCAACACGACTATAAAAGGACTGAACGCTCTGCATTGATGCGTTGTTTGTTTAGATTAGACTGATTCTGATTCAGACTTGCATACAGTACAATAAACTCTTTCTTATTCCTGCAGCTTGCGGCCCAGGTGCTTGATGATTTTGAAGATGAGGACATTGGATTCGGTTTGGTGGATTCAAAGAAAGACCGAGCGGTTGCTAAGATGCTGGGTAATACGAATGCATCTGAGATCTATTATCTTCCGTTTTCTGCCTGTAATACAATTCTTACCTTCACTTTCTGATAGCCATCAGTCTGTTGAAGTACACGCTGCTGGTGAACAGTACATGAAAATTAATGCTTTGTATAACAGAAAACTGAATTTTTCTCTGTAGCAAAAGGATTAGCGGTTATTGTATTTCCTTACACTGTCTTGCGTTTCATCATAACCTATACACTGAAAAACATTTGGTGTCGGATTTACTTTGAAATAATTTTCACTTAGAAAGTGCAATTTAAATCATAAATATTCACAAACAAACGACAAGCAACACATTGAATTAAATGAGAAAATGTGAAAGTAGAAAGACTGAAATAGTATTTCCTTGTAAAACACCAATTATCTTGGTTTATTATTACAATGCTCAAGAAAGATGAACGCAGAAAATCCGCTTATAATGAATTATCTACAATAATTCACTCAAAGACGAAAACTCAGTCATTATTTATTCGCTCATTTATTCAGTTGTTCCAAACCTGTATCCTTTTCTTTCTTCCATGGAACAAAAAAGAGATATTTATTAGAACATTCATGCTGCTCTTTTCCATATAACGAAAGCATTCAGTGACCAGCTCTAAAAAGGATAAAAAGGCCAATGTAACTTTACAACATTTACTAATACACTATTTAAATGAAAAGTTGCACCTGTTAATATTATTTAATGGACTTGAGCTGACATGAACTAGCTATGAAAAGCTGTATTTTTATTAACCAACATTAACAAAGATTAATAAATACTTCAACTAATTTATTGCTCAGTGTTAGTTAATTCATTAACTTATTGTAAAGTGTAAAATAAAACGTATTGTAAAGTGTTACCACTAACAAAACAGTAATTCATACAACTTGAGCAGTTTTCTGAACCCTTGCAACACACTGAAGAAAAATAAATGGTGTAGGATTTGCTTTGAAATGATTTTCACCAATTGCTAGTACATTTCAAAACTAATTACAAAGAAACAGCAATAAAACACAATAAAAACATATTCCAATAATCTTTATTTATAGCGTCAAAAAAATATGTTTACGATGCATCTTTGTTGAGGAACAGACTGAAATTTAAGATGTTGAAGTGAATAAGCCAATGATTGTGGAGTGACCTGTTGCTTTATGCAGTTTGCATAAATAGGGCGTGTTCTTGATCTGTATTATTATCATTAAAACATTGTCTTCTGATTTTAAGAGTGGATATAGGACTATAATTGGTTGATAAAAGGGTTACACTTTATTTTTGATAGTCCACTTTAGACATTCTACTAACTATAACTAACTATGTCAACTATATGTCAATTAATTCTCATTAATTCACAACTACATGTCTACTAACTCTCAGAGTAGACTGTCAGGGTTGGTTTAGGGTTAGTAGAATAAGTTGACATATACTTGCAAACTTTCTCATAGTCAGTATGTTGTATGTTGTGGACCCATCAAAATACAGTGTTAGAAGTTATTAAGCAGACAGTCTACTAATACTCTAATGACTGCTAGTTGACATGTAGTAGCAAATTTACGTACTGTTAGCAGAATGTCTAAAGTGGACTATCGAAATAAAGTGTTACCGATAAAAGTGTTGTTCCAGGAAAATCCTTCTTGGGTTATTCATGTTGTGCAAATGTTGATATAGTATCCCGTCCGTCTTTAATCTGCCAGTCCATTCAAACACCTCTGAAACGTTCAGATGCTTATTTTGGGCAGGTCTGCTGGAGGTGGACAGCATCTACATCTTTGCTGATGACGAGATCATCGAGTACGATGGAGAGCTGGCGGCCGACACGCTGCTGGAGTTCCTCTATGACGTGAGTGTTTATCATCATAACCGATCACGCATCTAAAGGTCATTGATTATTGAGTGACTGGTTCTTCTGTCAGGTGATCGAGGAGCCTGTGGAGATCATCAGTAATGACAGAGAGCTCAAAGGCTTCCATCACATCGAGGAGGACATCAAACTGATGGCCTACTTCAAGAGCGCCAAATCTTCACGTTAGTATGCCGTTACACCTGAACTTCTTTAATTAATTCTGATTACTCGTATACTTGTAACAAGCAGCTTCCATCATGCCAATGCTGTTATTTCTCAGACTTCATTGAGTACGATGACGCAGCTGAAGAATTTCATCCCTTCATCAAGTTCTTTGCCACATTTGAGCCAAAGGTAGCTACTTCCACACATTCATTCATTCATGCATTCATGCATTCATTCATTCACAAAGGGGTATGTGGTTATTGAATGATGTTAAACATAGCCTTATAAAACAAGTAAAGACCTAATTCATTTTGATTTGAATTTATTTTAACATAACTACAACTTACATCTTTAAAGGCAGACCTGTCATAAGCTCTTATCTTGATAATCAATGTTTTACGATATGTGTCAGAGGGCCCACAAGACTATCCGACTCTCTACACATAAAATGTACAATTAGGTAGAAAAAAAATATTTTGAATATTTTGAAATGACTAAAAGCCTTTAAAAGACTAGAAGCCTTTAATGGTCTCTGTGTTCATTGTGTCTGGTCTGCGTTATGCCTGAACGTTTCCAGATCGCTAAGAAGTTAAACCTGAAGATGAATGAAGTGGATTTCTACGAGCCCTTCATGAACAAACCCGTCAGCATCCCCGGCAAACCCTACACGGAGGACGACATCGTCAGCTTCATCGAGGAGCACGACAGGTGAACTCTGATCAGTGCTCAACCAATGGCTGAAGAGAAAATGAAAATACAATATAAAATCACAACTTTTCCTCAAAAGACCTCTCAGAAGGATGCCTGAATAAAATCTGCAGTTCTGTTTTTTTTTCTTATTTTAGGCCAACTCTAAGAAAGCTGGAGCCCCACAGCATGTATGAGATCTGGGTAAGACGAACTCTGTCCATTATCCAAAGCTAAAGCTATAAGGAATATTGAACAGTTGCCATGACTGTTACTAACTCTATGATTTGTGCCTGTTTTAGGAAGATGATATTAACGGACAGCACATTGTGGCCTTCGCTGAGGAGTCTGACCCTGGTAAACACTGATCTGAGTTTGAGAGTCTCTGAGGGATTTCATGTTCGTGACTCCAAATGACTGAATATTGACTTTTACCAGACGGTTATGAATTCCTGGAGATCCTGAAGGAAGTGGCTCAAGAAAACACAGAGAACCCAGACTTAAGCATCATCTGGATCGATCCTGATGACTTCCCACTGGTATGACAAACCTCTATAATACGGTATCCATTGAACATACCTTTGATTTCTCCAAGAACATGTTTTTGAACGATGCACCTTTAACATTGTGTCCTTATAGATTGTCAATGTCATTTTTACATTTGTGCTGTTGTTGATATAGTGGATATATATTTTCATGATTCCTAAAATCAATTTAATGACATAAACAATAAATTATACTACATAAACAACACATTGTGTGCTCAGCAGGTGCTTCAACATAAGGATCATATATTGTTTGACTCTGCTGCGCTCTACTGGAGATAGTTGACAACTGTTTGAACGATGCACCTTTAACATTGTGTCATTATAGATTGTCAATGTCATTTTTACATTTGTGCTGTTGTTGATATAGTGGATATACTGTATATTTTCATGATTCCTAAAATCAATTTAATGACATAAACAATAAATTATACTACATAAACAACACATTGTGTGCTCAGCAGGTGCTTCAACATAAGGATCATATATTGTTTGACTCTGCTGCGCTCTACTGGAGATAGTTGACAACTGAATGAATTGAATGAGTATGCGGGGCACATCAGCTCTAAAAACCTCCAAGGATTTAAAAAATAAAAAAATTTTTTTTTTTTGTTTGAGTGGATGCTCATTTACAAATGCAACTTCCCACAATGCCTCAGTTACACGAATGTGAACCCAGGTTTGACATTTGACCCCACTGTGTGCCCTCAGATGGTGCCGTACTGGGAGAAGACCTTCGGCATTGACCTCTCGTCTCCACAGATCGGCGTGGTGGACGTTGAGGATGTGAGCACATCATTTATCTTTACTGCCAGTGATCACACATGTGCAACTCCAGGGGGTTTTCACAGCAATGTCATAGAAGAACTATTTCTGGTTCCTCAAAGTTCCAAGAACAGTTCTTAAAACCAATTATCTTTAGCATTAAGGTCGGATACTTGTTGGCAAATCAGTGTCTTAATGAGTGAGTCACTGATTCATTCATTCAAGTGATTTGTTCAAAACAGTGATTCAATTCAATTGACTGTGATCGTGAATGGGACACTGAATCTCTGAACTGATTCGTTCAGTAGCATAACACCATTATGTATTGCTCCAAGATGCAAAACTTTTTGCTTCCTCTGGAACTACGTTTGTTGGAGAAATAGAGTATGTCTAAAATGTCACTTTATTAACTTTTTGTGTTTATTAAATCAGTATAGACATTTGCAATCATGTTGATATTCTGGAAATATTGTTTAAATATATTTTATAAATATTAAAAAAAGTCATGAGACTGATCAGTGGGGGCTTGCATTTTATCACCTGATGTTGATTGATTTAATAATAATTTAATTAGAGTTGTTATGAAGTATTGTCAAATCATGCAGTTCAAGTCCAAGTCAAGTCTCGAGTCATTCTCTTCACTTAATCATGTAACTCAAGTCTCCAGTGTCTGAGAGTATCATCGTGTACTTCATAAGCACAACCTTATGGAGGTTTTTGATGTTTGTGATTATTCTAAGTGTGTTTGTCCAACACAATCTCATGGTAGTTTGGTGGCTAATTCATATGACTTTGTGAAATCTTATTCTGTCTGGGATTGGTCTTGTGTGTGATTCTCAGGCTGACAGTGTGTGGATGGAGATGGATGATGAAGAGAACATGCCGACCGCTGACGAGCTCGACACCTGGATCGAAGACGTGATGTCTGGAAGAATCAACCCTGGTGACGAAACTGACTACAACCATGATGATGATGAAGAGGAGGACGATGATGATGATGACGACATCGACGAAGATGATGATGATGATGATGACAACGACAATGAGGATGATGATGATGAATAAATGATCTCAGACATAACTCTTCAGTCTGTCTGTGTTCACATCCTCACAAACTGAGCTGTCCTGTAATTGCTGTCTGGAGGAGAAACAATTTGTCTCGTCTCATTGTTTAACTCCACTCATTCTTCAGGAAAATAAACATCGTATTTGCGGGTCACTGCACCTGTTTCGCTGCCAATGAAAGGCATCTGCTGAGAACATGTGTGGTGTTTGTTAAAAAATAGCAAAGCCTTGTAACAACTATTTTGATATTTTTATTGACTTTTAGAGCAGCATTACTGATGCTCACTGGAAGGTCTTAAATAAAAGATATAAGTAAAAAAAATAAATAAAAAAAATCCTTGTTTTTTGTTCCAACATAGATGCAACAAGAAGTGATGGGGAAAAAAATGCCATCTATCAAGAATCTTAATCTCTGTGTAATATTTGTGTGTGTGTGTGTTTACTCAAGATGTTTACACAAGGTGTGTGTGTGTGTGCGTGCGTGTGTGTGTGTGTGTGTGAGTGTGTGCGAGTGCGTGTGAGTGTGAGAGTGCGTGTGTGCGAGTGTGTGTGTGTGTGTGTGTGAGTGTGTGCGAGTGCGTGTGAGTGTGAGAGTGCGTGTGTGCGAGTGTGTGTGTGTGTGTGCATGTGAGTGTGAGAGTGAGAGTGAGTGTGTGCGTGTGCGTGCGAGTGTGTGTGAGTGTGAGTGTGAGTGTGTGTCTGTGTGTGTGCAAGCAAAGGTTTGGGTTGTGTTTCTTAAATATTTGAATTTCAGGAAAATATGAATGTTACATTTTCATATTTTCAAACTTATGACAAATTTGCACAGAATATAATCACAGAGGTAACTTACAGTCATGTGATTCCCATCCCTCCCCTTCGACTATGTAAAGGAGAGCGTTAACCTCCTTTCTGCAGACTCAGGATTTCAGAGATTCACCATGAGACGGCTTGTTTTTCTTCTGTCACTTTCTTCTGTATAGCTCTGGCTATAACAAAGGTCACCTCTATCCCGTGCTTCACACCAACAATCATCTGTCAATGCTGGCCACATCCACACTGACCAGCGCAGCTCGGCAGAATTCAGATTTCAGTCAGAAGGTTTGGCTGAGACATGAGGAAGCTGTAATAGAAGACCTCAAATCCTGTGATGAGGCAGCTTATGTGGTGACTGGTGTAGTTCCTGACACAAAAGTCAAAATTAATAAGAGAGTCACAGTGTCAAAGTACTACTGGAGAGCCACCTGCTGTCTAAAGAACAATCAGTACACAGGGAAGGGCTAGTACGGCCAGGACGACAAAGGCCAAGTGAAGGAATTAACAATAAAAGAGCTTCAGGACAAGCTCAATGGTTTTTACAAAATACAATTTAAAATACAAACCCAAACTGAATATACATGTAACTAAAAAACCGCAACTTGTCAAGTTCCATTGCAGCTAATAAAGCAAACACCAATGTTCCTCGTCTAATGTTCACGTTTATCTACAATTCGATTCCCTCTGACTAATATATATTTGAAAACTCCTGTGGCACATCATTAAAAAATTGCTTTTTTTCATACAGTCTGCAAAAAAAAGGCTATTCTTGGAAATATCTGGTGATCAGGTATGTTTTGTTTGTATTCAGTAGGCAAAAAGGCATGTCATCTGATTTTACAAACACGCGTCTCTATGTGGCTTGAGATCCAACAGACATGTCATTTGTTTATTTTGTTTCTCAGGTCCTTTGTTTCCCAATCACTGGACTGGACATGTGCAAAGGTTTTCCATCCTCTCTTCTGCACTGATAGCTACCCCTTACCAAAAAGTAGTATACTACAAGTTTATTTTATTAAGTATACTTAAGTAAAGTTCAAGTATATTTTTAAGTATACTTTATGTAGTAAGTATACAAATATCAGTGTACTAGTAGTATACTTAGTAGAAAGTCGTTACTGTGTAGCAGCTTTGAAAGTCAGTGGTTGATTTCTTTCTTCTCTAAAGCATTACTTTCTTTTTTCAGACAGTTTATCAGTAATCACTCTTGTAGGGCTACATGAAGTGATTTCCCAGCATTTTTTGAG